GACTTTCGTTTTTTTCTGGTCAATCGAACCGCAGGCCTCTAAAATGACACAAGCGAGGTATCCTGAAGATCTCCTGTCGCCGGAATCTCAGCAAAGAGACAAGTACTGGTATACCAGGGTACTAACACCACCCGGAATCTCAACATGGACAAGCATGGTATACTGGGGAACTATCCCCACCCGGAATCTCAACATGGACAAGCATGGTATACTGGGGAACTATCCCCACCCGGAATCTCAACATGGACAAGCATGGTATACTGGGGAACTATCCCCACCCGGAATCTCAACATGGACAAGCATACCTATCCACCCGGAATCTCAACACGGACAAGCATGGTATAACCGGGAACTATCCCCACCCGGAATCTCAACATGGACAAGGGTATACTGGGGAACTATCCCCACCCGGAATCTCAACATGGACAAGCGTGGTATACTGGGGAACTATCCCCACCCGGAATCTCAACATGGACAAGCGTGGTATACTGGGGAACTATCCCCACCCGGAATCTCAACATGGACAAGCATGGACAAATGTGGTATACTGGGAACTATCCCCACCCGGAATCTCAACATGGACAAGCATGGTATACTGGGGAACTATCCCCACCCGGAATCTCAACATGGACAAGCATTGGTGTACTGGGGAACTATCCCCACCCTGAATCTCAGCACAGATGACAAGCATGATTGCGCATACTGACCCGGAATCCAATCCTGACCTTTCAACAGAGAAACAGGTATAGGGTGCATTTAAAACATATTTTAGCACCTAGCACCGATCTACTTAATCACTTGTTCACATATCGATTCCCATTCAGCCACCAACCACCAATCTAATTAATCATTCAATCACATACCCTTTCAATCACCAAACAACGATCTAATTAATCACTCAATCAACTCACTATTCAAAAACCAATCTAATTACTAAATCACCAGTCCTTCAACCACCAGTCGATTCAACCACCAATTTACTAAACATTCAACCAACATTAACCACCAATCCATTCAGCCACCAATCTAATTGATTACTCAGACACCAATCTACTGGATCACTCAACCACCAATCCCTTAACACCCAATCACCCAGGTAGCTTCCAAACCCTTACTCTCGAGTCCTTTAAAACCCCGTGCCGATCATTTAAAACGCTAAAGAGTTTGTTGCTAGGCTCCAGACACAATTTACTTACGAAAGCACAAGGAAAATACAAATATGTCTGCGCTTTTCGAAAAAATAACACTGATGTGTATACCTGACTGTTTTCCTAACTTCAAATGTTGTAACACGTGTCTGAGCATGTCACGGCGAACCAGGCATGTGTTCTCGGAGTCATGCTTGCATGTCAGTTACGAAATACCTCGCCAAGGGAGCAACCATTGGATTTTCAAGGCTGGGAGCGAGGCTCTGATTTGAGATCAGCAATTTTGCCGTTCTTTTTTGTCTTTTGTTTATGAGCTAAGTAATGTTCCAACAAAAACAGACCCGTGGAGATCCGGGCTAGAATTGATCTTCAGTAGGCTAACCCATGCTTGTCGTAAGAGGCCACTAACGATATCGGGTGGTCAGGCTCGCTGACTGGGTTGACACATGTCATCGTATCCCAATTGTGTAGATCGATGCTGCTGTTGATCACTGGATTGTCTGGTCCAGATTCGATTATTTACAGACCGCAGCCGTATAGCTACACAATTGCTGAGTGCGGCGTAAAGCTGAACTCACTCATAAACAGGCGCTAAATTAATATTTTTAAGTAATAAAACTTTTATGTCCACTTTGACATGATCTTCACGAACACGTGCCTCACGAGCATGTTCAGGTCACATGTCAACAGATCTCAGAGGCCAAAAGCGTAGGGTACATTATGTTGTCTCCCTACCAGGTGAGGCATAGATATTTTTCTTACTAAAGGGTTACTTGAGTATCTTTTAAGAATAAAAACCGCCCCATTTTACAAAGGCATTGGCGAGGATTGTGTACCAAACACGAGATCCCCAATCATCAGCATCGTCACCACTGACTGTAACAGCTCGATATTTGAAGTACATCCCCGATGAAGTTTAAAATACATCCCCGATAAAGTTTAAAATGCGGCAATATTTCTTCCAGACTTTCATCTGATTAGAATGCACATCCAAACCATTAAGATGATTCTCATATTTTAAAACATTTCAATATTTGCACATTCCGCTCATTTTCGAACAGTCGAAGGCATTCGTTTGCTGCCTGATCATGATGATATTGTTTGAGTAGCGATAGAGCGATATCACAAACCACACGTCCAATCGTATGTGTGTGAAGTTTAGTTTAATGCATAATACCCACAGCTTATCGGTGGACTATGTTACAAATTTTAACAATTAACATGCTGATCACCAATTAAATCAGTTACATAATGATTATGTTAATAATATTGCATTACATCTTTGAACAAAATCCAAAGTTATTCCAAAGTGCCATAGGCGTATCGTTCTTTTTATATAAACACTGTTCAGAGTGTGCCCGCAAAGCGTCAACGCTTTACAGAAGCCTAGCGAGTCTTACTGTTCGCATGTATACACACACTGGCGGGCTTCTTTTCAAACAGCGAGTAGCAGTGTGCTGATCTCAGGAAAGAAAGGGCCCCCAAGGCTATGAAAGAGGTTCAGTTTGTCGGCTACGGGGTAACTTGAGCTTAGCCCTTTGACTTTATGAATGGGCAGACTGGCGAAATGTTGGCCAGACTACAGCTCGCCACACGCGTTGTATCAAGTACAATCGAAGCATGCATATGCGTCCGTGCATCCCAGGTATTTGTGGGGATGCCTATGCAGTGGGAGAAGTTGGAGAACTGTCATAGAAAGTTTGTGGTCACAGTTAATGAATCTGTACCCACTGCTGCATACTGTAACGAAAAACGTGAATCATTGGATATTTTTATGCAGTAAACGTCCTTCCCGATATCTATGATAGATTCATGATTGTTTTTAAGATAATGTTATCACGTTATTAAGATAAGGTCGTTTTCAGATCCACGGCTAGGCAATATACATAAAGGTTTATCGAAGTTAAGCTACAAGCCCAGATACTGGTTATGTAAATCTTCACATAGGTTCAGTTATCAAGAAAGTGATAAGGAAGTATATCTATGAAGATCGACGTTATCTATAAAGCTTAGTTTGCACACGAATTGATATTGTGGTGGTGATTTTGAAAATGAACCATAAAATGGCCCCGTCAGTCAAAATACCGGTTTTCATATAGATCGTTGTGGTGGAAGATGACTGAGATAATGATGGCGTCTGTACTACTACTACTACTACTACTACTACTACTACTAGTAGTAGTAGTAGTAGTAGTAGCCGTAGTAGTTGCCGCATGTAGCAGTAGAACTTAAAGTAGAAATAGCGGAAGTAGCAGCGGTATTGTAGTAGTAGTAGTAGTAGTAGTAGTATAGGACGCATCAGGAGTATATACAGTAACAATACTTTATTCTACTGACAGTACTTGTAGTATTCGTACAAGCAGGATATCCCAGATTTGAGAACTGGAGTAGAACTGGAGTTACCATCATTGGCGAGTGTAGGACGTTGATGTGGGATGTATCCATTACTGTCACAGACACTGTCTCTGGTCTCTGTCTACGATGTTTCAGTCTTAAAAATACGATAAAACGACCCCTCGCTCCATACCACGTATCAGTGCACTGTCTCACTGGGTCCCTGCTACCAAGTTAACGCTAAATCAATTGTCGTGAGTTAACGTACAGGTCGGGAGTTATAGCCACGTATATCTAGGTTTATGCATCCCTACTTCACTGAATAGCTTTCATTTGCAATATATTTACAGAAGTCCTGTCGTTTTAATGTCTGATTTGAAAACATATGTTTTCTAAAATTCCCGTTCAGGAGACACCACGTGTTGTGCACACAAAGCATGAACACGATGATGTTGCATTAATAGGGGTAGGCGCACATTGACTTATAATGATATAATTATGATATTGGAGTTAAATGTTTTTGAAGTTGGTTTCCTATAGCTGTATACGAATAAGTCGGAAATACAATCATCGCCATTAGAGAAGACACATTAAATTTCAGAAGGGTGGATATGTCGGGGTGTCAAGCTGATTTTGAGTAAGATCATATTGTTTTCAAGTTTAGGAGCTCAAATGATATTCATATATCATAAACAGGTGAGCATTAACGAACTGTATTCTTTGGAAAATTATCTGAAAAAAAATTGCCTATGTTTTGCCTACAATGCGAGGCAAGTGTAATTTGGTCTGACTACATCACAGGATTCATTTTTTGGGGGGAAATCTCAAAGTGAAATACAGTAAAAGTAATTAAACAGTAACATAGTCTTGTAATGTAATGGAATGCTTTTATTGTGGGGTTAAAATAAATATAAATACGTTTAAAACTGGGAACCTTTGCAAAGTCGTAAACGAGGCAATTATTGCACATATACAATGTCTATTTATAGTCAACCTATTCACATGGATAACGCTTTCATTACTTGTTTTAGTGTACTTACTACAATTTTATTAATTTCCATCATGATGACGGTTGCGGTTATCGTGAAGAATGCTCCCTTCTGATTCTCTTATTCTGCTTGTTCATTCCGCAAAGCCTAGACAGATTCGGCTAAGATAGACAGAAATCGTGTGTCGGTGTAGGCCCACAAGCCCAGGCGAAGCTATCAGCACTATACATCGCATTCATATCCACACACTGGGAGAGAATTTGTTGCAATACACAATAACCACGTGCTCGGCGTGTTGACATAAAACATAGCTGTCAATTAATTACTTGTCCCGCCTCTTAGACAACGCTCATCGAGAAGTTAATCGATATGACACAGCTATGGGCGGAGCTAGATATATAACACCAACTGTGATTGGTGGATGTGCCGCCCGCGACATGCGGCATGAGGTTTTTGTGTACATAGTTATGCAAATCAGTGTACCGGAAATAAACGAACAGAGGTCGAGAGTAATCTGATGCGTGTAATGTTATTGGGTAGAAAGGTAAAGTATGGTTCGAGCGGCGAAGCTAGCTCACACCAACTTTTGTGAGGAGAAGATAGTTGTGCATTTCTCACTCATCTGAGGAGATAGTGTATGCAACAACTTGCCTCGCCTGTGTTATGTCAGGCGGCCTTTTGAGGCTCGGTGGATCGACAATGGAGTCCCAAATGCCCCGTGCGGTACAGGTAGCCGTTGTGATTTTGAGTGTGGTTACTCTGTCCTCTCAGGTAATTCTATCACCGAGAGATATTTTAGTGGCAAATCGGAAAATAACGGTGCCGCTTGGACGATCGGTTTTTGTAACTCCGAATGATCTGCAGATAAGGGTGCGTCAAGGAGACAGTTGTATGGTGACAGTACTGGACACTACGGACGCTTTGTCCCAGCGACCAGGTAGGCTAATGCCTTCGGAATTTCCATGTGACTTCGATATGCAGGATGTCCAGTATTCGCATTTCGGAGCTCGTAATCCGGCCGAGGATAGAGTACGATTACAGATTCGATATGATTCTCCCTCTCAAACTATCATCATTCCGTTCACAATTCATTTTGAAGTGTCATTCGTGCAGCTTGAAGTTGTCACTCGGAACTTACCTATCGCAGTTTCAAAGTTGATGGGAATCAGTGAACCAATTAATAAAGAGGTGTTGGAGTTTGCCTACGATCGTCCTAACCGGCTTTGTAAAGTGACAGTTTTGAGCAGTGCCAGTGGACTACCCCGTTACGGCGTTGTCATGAACGACACTACACGTCTGCAGATGGTGGACTGTGACGAGTTTCTGGAAATGGGTGTGAGATACCAGCACACAGCAGAAAACAATTCCCCCGACAGAGATTTCATACCCTTGGTTGTTGAATTAATGGATTTGGATGGAAATTTAGATAAACAGGAATATTTCCAAGTTATGGCTAGAATTCAGGGTGGGTTGGAAAACACCCGCCCACAAGCGAGTTACAGTGCCTTGCTGGTCATGGAGGTGGACCAGTTCGTCATGACAGCAATTACTCCAGAAATTCTGTCCGCAGAAGATCTTGAAACCTCACCTGACAAGTTGATTTTCAATATCACCACCCCCCTTGGTCCTGGAGAGGGTCATATTGTGAGCACTGATGACAGGAACCTGCCAATTAAGTCATTTTATCAGAAAGACATTACAGATCTTAAGATTGCTTACAAACCACCTCCAGAGGATTCCTATGTTCAGAGAGTGTTCCAGGTAGCATTTGAAATAATTGACTCAGACGGCATGGCATCGGTGGATCCTGTTATGTTAATGATCGTTGTGAAACCAATGAATACCCTTGCACCTGTTGTGACAAGGAATACTGGAATTCAGCTGTTCGAGGGACAATCTAGGGTATTAAGAAGTGACAAGAACTTCCAAATTTCTGACGAAAATGATTTGGAAAATGTGAAAATCTTTGTCGCAGATGGACTTCGTCATGGTCAACTGGACATTCCTACTGGTCAGAAATTTTTTTACTCCTGTCGATCTGGATCGTGGTGCGGTAGTATATCGCCATGACAATAGTGATACTTACAGTGACAATATCATCTTTCGAATGACAGATGGAAAAAATGAAGTCGAGTTTCTTTACCCTATTACAGTCTTCCCCTGTGGATGATGAGCCTCCGATCCTTAATGTGAACACAGGGTTAGAGATCAGGAAAAATGAAGTGGCTGAAATCTCCCCATTTGTACTGAGTGCTACTGATATTGATAGTGATGATGCAAGCATCAGATTTGTCCTGGAGCGTCCCTTCTCCACAGAGGGAGTCATTCTCCGGCGACAGTTCCAGACACCACCAGATATGGAAAACTGGCAGTTGAGGAGTGGAGTTTATGAGCAAGTTGTCAGTGAATTCACCCAGCAGGACATTGTTGATGGTAAAATGTTCTATCAGCATGTTGGTCCACACAGATCTGACTTTGTGATTGACAAAATCAGGTTCAGATTGGCTGATGGGGGTGACCCTCCAAACCAGTCTGGTCTTGAAGAGTTTATTGTGAAGATTGCCCCGGTGGATGATCAACTCCCTTACCTCTATCCTAGCACTCCACTTTCTATGAAAGTCAGTGAATTTGAGACAACGACATTCAAGAGGAAGTTCCTTAGGTACACTGATGATGATACTGATGACCGGAAGCTGAGATATGATATCACAGTCTTGCCATTTGACACAGACCTGAACACTCCTCTTGGACCTGGGACAATTGTAAAATGTGATCACCCAGGTAGAGGTGAGCTGTCCTCTTTCACACAATCTCAGGTAAACCATCACAAGATCTGTTACAAGCCCCCTAGTGCCGATATGGGAACTGTGCCGAGGATTATCCAGTTTGCCTACACTGTAACAGATGCTTCTGGAAATGTGTTGCCTGATCAGAGATTTACCATCAATGTAAAACCTGTGGATAACAAACCACCTGAAATTGTCAACAGAGGAGTTGAGATTGAGGAAAATGGGTATGCAATCATTGACACCAGCATGTTGGATGTGCATGATGTCGACACTAGTGATGACGGTATCAAGTTCACGATCATGGAGATCCCACTTCATGGTGTGCTGCAGCTTGATGAGGTTGACATGGGAGTTGGGGACCTGTTTATGAAGGATGACCTGAACACTGGCCGAATCTTGTACCTGAATACTGGGGACGAGATAGACAATGACAGATTCAAGATAGACATTACAGACGGAGTACATCATGTTCCCATTACATTCAAAGTCAATGTGAAGTCAATTGATGACGAAGCACCAAAGCTGCTTGGAAATGTACAGGCAGGAGTCCTTGGGATTACAATCAAAGTGCCAGAGAGCTCTTTGGTAACCCTCAATGCAGAGGATTTTAAAGCAACTGATCCTGACACAGAAGATTTGATGTTAAACTTTATTGTGGAAAGAGTTCCTTATGAAGGATTTATTCTGAACAGAGGCTTGAATACTGACAGGTTCACCCAGAAGGACATTGTTGATGGTCACATTCAGTACCAGCACACTGGTGGGGAGGTTGGACCCAAAGGGCGAAATGACAGTTTCACGCTGTTGCTGACTGATCGGTCAGATGAATTCAATGTAGAAGGGAACAGGATTAACAGAATTAATGTGGATGTCAAGATCCTGGCTGTGGACAATGAGTCTCCCATTGTGACCGTGGTGGAAGAGTTTGATGTTCGAGAAAATGATAAGTCTCCAATCCTACCCATTCATCTAGATGCAATGGATATTGATACAGATGACAATGAAATCGTCTGTACAATAACCTCAGCACCTACCTATGGTTATATTGAGAATGAATCAGCAGCTCCGGGTTCAGAGAAATCCAGAGTTGGAATGCCAGTATCTGCCTTTACTATTGGAGATGTCAGAAGAGGCAGCATCAACTATGTCCAGAGTGTTCATGAAGGTGTTGAGCCAAGGAGGGATAGATTTGTGTTCAGGTGCTCCGATGGTATCAATAACTCACCAAGTTATGACTTTAACCTGGGTATTGTACCAAACAATGATGAAGAACCCAAGGTGTTCCTGAGAGAGTTCATGGTACTTGAAGGCATGAACCTGATGATTGACACACCGATCATGAGCGTGGTTGATGGTGATGATCCACAAGGAGAAATCACCTTCTACATCACCAAGAAACCAGAGCATGGAGCTATTGTTCAGCAGAGGCCAAGTGGAACATACCCCATCGATTCCTTCACTCTGACTGACATCTCTGGAGAATCTACAATAGAATATGAACATGATGATACTGAAACCACATCTGACTCTTTTGAATTCCTTCTGACAGATGGAGTTCACAACGTCACCAAGACGGTCCCAATTATTGTTATCCCAGTGGATGACGAAACACCCCGACTGACCATCAACAATGGCCTTGAGCTGGAGAGAGGTGGGGAGATCAAGATCATCACAACTGAACATCTTAAGGCTGAGGATTTGGATTCCAATGACCCAGACATTCTTTTCATTATCAGAAGAATACCTAAGTATGGATATCTCTTGAAACAGATATCGGGTGAATTGTTTCAGAACCTGACTCTTGGCCAGAACTTTACCCAGAGAGACATCGATGAGAGGAAGGTCCAGTATGTTCACACAGGGCTGGAAGGAGTTCGGGATCTCATCAAGTTTGATGTCACTGACACCCTTAACCCACTGATTGACAGATACTTCTATGTGACAGTAGAAGGAATTGACATGACATTCCCAACTGTTATCAACAAGGGTGTGGAACTTCCTGAGGGAGGGAGAGTTACTCTGACAACTGACCTCCTCAGTGGAACTGATCTCAACACGCCAGATGAGAACCTCCAGTTCATCGTGACCCGAGCACCAGGTCGAGGTCACCTGGAGAGCACTGACATGCCTGGGGTCCCCATCACTGCCTTCACACAGCTTGAGTTGGCTGGAAATAAGATCAGATATGTTCATGCCAGTGACGATGAGATGAAAATGGACAGCTTTGAGTTTGAAGTTACGGATGGATTCAACCCAGTTGCTCGTACCTTCCGGATCTCTCTCAGTGATGTGGACAATAAGAAGCCGATTGTCATGTTCCAGCCTCTGAGACTGAAAGAAGGTGACAATAAGCTTATAACTCCCTTTGAACTGAAGGCTGATGATAGAGACACTTTGGATGAAAACATCCTGTTCACCATCACTCAAGTTCCTGTTCATGGTAACATATTGTTTAACAAAACCAAGATTATTGCAACATTTACCTTAGAAGATCTCAATGAGAACATGATCAGTTACCAACATGATGGATCCGAAACAAACAAAGACAGTTTCTCCTTCACTGTCACTGACGGCACCCACTCCGACTACTTTGTTTTCCCCGAGACAACATACACAACCAGGCAGCCTCAGATGATGCATATTGAGATAGTCCCAGTGGACAATGGCACTCCTCAGATTGCCATCAACAGAGGTGTGTCTACACTTGTCAGCATGGATGGTGGTAGTCTAGGATTCCCTATCACGGAGAAATACCTGCGCGTGGAGGATCGTGACAGCCCTGATGACGGACTCAAGTACACCCTCACCGTGGAACCTGACTATGGCTACATTATCAACACCAACCTTGGCAACAAGAGCATCAGTGAATGGACACAAGGTAGGCTTTTCTTCACTTCATATGGACAAAGGACTTGTTAATCCAATTATTCCTTCCATCGTTTGTTTCTGAAATCTTATGTACCATTTGCACGTTCTGCAACATCTCCTGTTGCTGATTTTCAGCTGGTCTAGGAACTGATCATTCATTACAGGATTCCATGGATCTGAGGCTTTTGGTGCAGTAATGTACTGAATAAAATTACCCTCTCAATATGCTTCTTTTTTAAGGGGCTGGTCCTTACAGTGTGATTGTACGTATTTTTTCATGACCCAACTGAAAGACAAAATGAAAAGCAATTTATATTTTACAAAATAGTGTCCAAGTTTTCACAACCCTCCCCAAATATTTTTTGATTGACCCTCATGTACCCACCATCATAAGGGTGGGAGACCCTCCCCTGTTTCCCTCTGTCACCATCCCCAATCTCACATTCTGACACGCGACACCCCTATAATAAATGATTTTCCCTGGAATCAGATTTTCAGATATGGAAGCTGCAAATTATGTCGTAGAATCATGATTTACTACTCAAGGAGATTTGTTGGAATAATTTTGTTTTTCAGATCCTGTTGCAGTATGTTGGCAGGACCAATATGTTTTTGTATTACTATGTTTTAAGCCAGATTGCAGATGAGTCTGTCCTTCCTTTTTAAAATAAAAAGAAATGTGTGTCATTCTTCATTGACACATGTTTGATGCTTATTTTTAACATTTTTTATGAGTATTCTTCATGAAATTTCTTTTGATCATGGAAAGGGTTTTGTCCCTTACATTTACAACTAGTATAGCAAAGTGTTTTAAAAAAACTACCCCAAATTATCCCCAGCAAAATCTGTTTTTGTCACTCCATCTTTGCACTTTGGCGAAAAAGGGTAAAACCAAAAACTCATTTGTCTTCTGCTATTGTATTTGTATTATGCTACTCAAAAAAGTTAAGGATCACCTGATTTTGCCATTTTACAGTGTTAATTGTTCCCATTGCAGATCACATTTAATAATGTGGAAGAATAAGACTGTCATGGCTTGACAAGTTATCTATACTGGACAATAATAGTTAGGGATATATGTAAATTTTGAAATTGTGAGTAATGATCTATTTATTCATTGACACACTGATAAAATATCAATCATAAAAATACCAATATCCCTAACTTATTTTGTCCAGAATATAATAATATGAAATGCAGTGACCCTTAACTATTTTGAGTAGTATATCTATATATGTATTTAGAGTATAGTTTTCCACCCTTCTCTTGAAAACGGCAGAGGCTGTGATCTGCATTTCTGTATGTGTGTGTTCAGATGCAGACAGGTACTAGCACACTTCACATTCTGCCAGGAAAAGAAACAGACACAAATTCATCATGTTTCTTTCAGTCTTTACAGAAATACTTTGTTGAGTGTGAAGAAAATAAGTATCAACAATATATTAGTGTTGTCATGGTTACATGTATTTTCTTTGTCTATTGGAATATAATGAGAGACAGGTCTTTTCCACTTCCACCAGCTTGGAAACGGTAAACTATCCTCTGCCAACACATACAACCTGACAGCGAAACATTTGTTTATTTCTGCAACAAATGATGTATTAGATGTGAGAGCCGTGATGCTACATCATTTCCATAATTTGTATTTTAGCTGTTTGCAAACACCTGGTGTCATTTGTAATTTTCAATTATCCATTTATGTAATTATCACTGCCTTTTTCACCCAAAGAAATCTGGCTGGATGATTGAAACGGGTTGTTTGATGGCATTAATGTTGTCTATATGCCAACGAATTCCACCTTGACGTGAACAAAATTTGTAGTTGAACCAAATTCACGGGATCTCCTTTAAAACAACCTGCTATTTCAGCAACAAATTACACCAGTATCCCTGCATGTTTTGAAGTCGTCTTTTTATAATTTCCAAAACCACATTTCTCCACAGTAATCCTTTTTGGAGCATTTATGGAATTTCTCCATAAAAATATCTGGCTGTGGGTTACATATTTCAATTATAATTGCTTTAACAGCATGGCCCATATAAACAAGCAACAGTTTATGTTAGAGGTGTCTGATATGGCTGCTTTGTGACCTGGATGTTCCACATGACCTGCCAAAGGTCACAGGTCATGTCAAAGCTCCCTCTGGTGTGCTGGCTAGTCATGCTCTGTCCATGGCAGTGCCATTGGCTGGCAGTGATTAATGGCCTCGATCAGCCTTGATTCAAAACATCACAGAAAGAAATGACCTCTCCTCATGAAAGAGACATATTTATTGACCGCATAAGATGTTTATGATGGATAGTATTATTTTTAAAAATGCAGTTTGGTTGAGGAAAGGAGGGTTTGATTGTGATACAGCTTTAGAAATTTTCTTGCCTCTGCGTTTGAGTTTAAATGTATGTTTATTGCTAAAGTATTAAAGGAAATTGAATTCAATATTGCATCTTGCTCACTTTATGTAATATTCAATGGCATTTATTGTAATATTGAATTTTTTGAGGCGCTGATATTTTTGGTTAGAGTGTCTTGTGTTCATGGTAATAATACCGTTGCCAGGGAAATGATGGCCTTTTATTAAAGAAACAGTGAGACAAAATGGATTAAGTCCATCAATTACTCATTAAGACACTGTAATTACTTGATGGATAAAAAAATCAATTTTAAATTTTAAAAAACCCAAAATGATCAATCTGCTATGCACATGATTCTGTGAGAATGAAGTTGTTGAAAATTAGAGGTGACAGAGGTTTTCTGTGAATAAAACAGTTGATCTGTACCCCAGTGACTTATTCCATTGTTGGAGAATAACATGACCTCATCAAACAGATGTTACAGTGTCGGAGTGACATTTTCCTGGGAGTATCTGAATAAACAATTCATCTCTGCTACAACACACCAGTGCATGCACTTACCAATGTATTGAGTGCAACTTCACAGGGTGTTGGCTGGCTCTTGATGTGGAAAGAATTACCATGCCTGGATGTAGAAAACACATTGTCCATTCGTTCCTTCACATGTGGAGACATGAGGTGGAAATATGAACATGTTGTATAATGTCTTCAGGACATGCCTTTCTATATTTCTTAGAATTCCATGAAAATTCTTTCATTTATGGAATAACCTTTTTGAATCCATACTTTAAGTATATTAACATCAGCTTTGATATAATACTCAAAAAAAGCATAAAGAACACCATATTCCTTCATATTACTTCAGTTAATCTGTTGGGATGTGACTGATTAACTTTATAGTCATGTGACAAAATGGGATGTTCTTAATTGTTTTGAGTAGTATATATCATATTTCAGTAAAGATTTTAGTTAACATAGACTTGAACAGTGTAGATAATAATTCCTTAAGATATATAAATAAAACAAGTTGTCCTTAGACTTGTCTAATATATGGATTAAATTACAAAACATCTATGGACTTATTGAAGCCTTGGAGCAAGGCTAGATTTAACAATACTCTGAGTAGTGCTATATCAAAGCGTGTCAGCTAAATTGGGGGGAATGCTCAAAGTGTCATACTTACCTGTTGTGAAACCCTCTGACACAGGCACAGTCCTGACAGATCTGGATTATGGGATCAGACCGAGTCTTAGGTTGAAATTCTTTCCAGCCTGCTTAAGAGTATGTTTATATTTTTTCCTGTTTAAGTGTTGTAGACAAATGAGCTTTATATGAAGTAATACAAGACTAACACTTTGTCTCTGAACTATATTAGTTATTAGTTTGAGAGAGACAAGCAACTATATTTAAGTAGAACAGATGGAAGTGTTTGAACATGTGGAAAATCTAAACTTGCCTCTTTAAGGATATGTTATTGTGAGGACTTTGAGGAAGGGAAATTGTGTTTTAAGACCAAATATCTGTTTGCTGAGGAGTTTTGTGGTATTTAGTACAATGAGATGATAATACTGTAACATTCCAGTACTTCAGTCATCTTTGGTTGCATATTGCCCAGGGAGTTGAGAATGAAAATTAAGGGCACATTGATCCACTGACCGGAGTAATAATATCATGCTTTTGGCACATCATAAATATGCACATCATCATCATCATCATCATCATCATCATCATCATCATCATCATCATCATCATCATAATATGCACATCATCATCATCATCATCATCATCATCATTGTCGTCGTCATCATCATCGTCATGGTATTTGCTGTCCTGATTCAAATTATATTTGTAAATAACAAATACAAGACAATGTTTGTGTTTTTAACAATTCCCTTTCATAATTCATCCTGTCCTTGAGTTTATGATCAAAGTAATATGGCATGACAAGGTTGAACACAGTGCAGTTGATGTACCTTAGATTCAATGAATGAACACATGCTTCCATTTTGTACATCCTTTGTTGCCCTATCTAACACTTCACAATGGTGTGTTCACATGACCAAGAACGGGAGATGAACACATGGTATTAAATACATTGTATACCCTTTGTGTTCACAATATTCTTTGATAGCGGCTTAAAGAAATTCAAACAAAGTCTACAAATCTGTCAGGGAAATATTATTTCTGCATTCACCATGTTCAGAAACTGGAACCTATTCTCCTTATCGCTGAGAATGTTTGACAATATGAAGAGAAATGTGAAATGCAGGTGTATAACCCATAATGTATTCACATCGTAATATTCAGCAACTTTATTGGATAATGGGATGCCAAGGTTGTTTCATAAACAAGAGAGGTGTTTTGTTAGTGGTATAGCCATAAATTACATCAATCTTTCAATGGGAACTATTCATGGTGATGTTATGTAAAATAACAACAATAAAAGTATCAAAGTTGTTTTCATGAAAACATCATTTTATGTTATCACAGTATGTTTCGGATAGGCTGCCATGAAGAAATGCCCTGAAAGTTCATGCCCTGAAACTCTGCGGTCGAGGCATGCGACCGTCATTGTAGTGTTAAAAGGAAATTGCCTGAATTTTCTATTAGGTATTTTCATTGCATATAAAGCCACAAACATTATAGGAGAGGACCTTC